AGTTAGTGGTATGTGATATCACAAAATCATTTGTGTGTTTGTACACTGTACAGTCAATTAAATCGTTAGGTAAAGTGAAGTCTAGTATTTTAAATAGAAAATATCCTCTTTTTGGAGGGGAAAAGCTTAATTAGACAGTCATTTTATTTTGAAAAAAGGTTTGAACAAGAGATATATGCATTCATGTAATGTATTTATATTACTGTATGGAAAAAAAAACATGGTAGAGAGAAAGGAAAGTAACAAACTCACTTTATGTATATGTGTACATGCATGTCTTCAAACATTTGTAATGTGATTAAGATATGTAAGAAGATGGTGCCATGCGCCATCACTAACTTTTGATAGGGATTTTTAAATTTGCACGTAATCTAGACGATGCTGACAGAGACATTAGAGACCTGTCTGCTTAATATAATGCATTCGTATTTTTGACATATTTCTAGATTTAAAGTCTTGACAACCTTAGTGTGTGACATAGGCTCATCCAACATAGCAATGAATAATTTCTGCAAGGTACAACTGATTAATTTCAACAGTTTGTCAATATTTATTACCAACAGGAATTAGGCGATTCCAGTATTAAGCTGAGGGGAATGAGAGGACTCGGTAGTCAACGTAAAATAAGAATTTTCGCAATGTGCTCTTCAAGTCAAGCAAATTACTTAGATACCTTTTCTTGCTTTGTCTAAGTAATGATTAAAGAATATGATTATTTTCAGTACATGCCTTAAAACTTAATTCTGTACTTAGATGACAAAGTACTCTTTAGCCACCTGACAAGTTGAGCCTACTGTAGCAGTGTATCACTCAATAGATGGTATTAAAGGCTTATGGCCAGCATTAACTAATTATTACAATAGATCCAGCCAAACTAGTTGTATTCCTGATCTTTACTGCCCTTCAACTTCATGCTCAGCAAGGCCTATGTGTAGATACACATATTAATCAGGCAAGCTATGGAAGTAGAAATACGGGAATGCAAAAAAGGATAGTTGTATTAAAATATGCAGGACATAGTACCCTTTACTACGCCAACACTACAGCAACTTTTAGATCGAGTATTCTCAAATGCGGAGACATCGATCCAAACCCTGGTCCTTTGGAGCAACACCACCATCGGTACTCTAGTAACGATCTTTATGAGCTAAGAGATAAATGCACTAATCAGAAGGTGTCCCCTCACACAAGGAGGGTGATTAAAAATCTTCGAATCAACCCTAGGCCCATATGCCGTCGAGGTAAACGAGGTGGGGCTACATGTAGGAGACCTACCCATCCAGTGGAATCTCCGGCTTCTCACAATATCTAGGTGATTGTCCGCCCAAGACCAGATGTGAATAGGTTGCAAAGACAGGAACCAAGTTATATGAACAAAATTCAGCTGGTCCAGACTGAACCCAAAGAGAAACCTAATGCAAGGTCGTTACCTGTCCTACCGTCAGTTTTATTGTGCGATGCTCGTTCTCTCATCAATAAACTGGACGAATTATCTGTTATTGTTCAGTAACAGAGACATGGTTTAATCATGACCAACCGGAGTCATCATACAGCGTTGATGGTTACCAAGTCTCAGTGTTCTCGCAGGGGTGGTGGTGTCGCTATTTACGCGAAACATAGCATTGACCCCAAACAGGTGACTATTATTCCAGTTCCAGATGAGCACGAAGTTGTATGGGCCCATTTTCGACCTCATCGATTACCGCGTCGTGTCAGCAGTATCTACTTCAGTGCAGTTTATTCACCCCCAGGAAACGCCTATGCCGGTGTTGTAATCCTCAGTGATTTGAATCGCATGGACATTTCCCAAATCCTCAGTGGATGTCACATGAAACAAGTTGTCCGGACCCCGACAAGAGGTAACGCGATCTTAGACCAAATCATAAGCAATCTCGATCTCTTTTACCAAGAACCATCTTTGTTATCCCCCATTGGCCTTGCCGACCACAACATTGTAATCTGGCTACCCAAAGAAGTCAATAATAGACCATGCAATAAGGCTAAAAAACGGATTGTCCGACCAATGAAAGACTCGGACATAAGAGCTTTTGGTGAGTGGATAATTCACAACGACTGGCGAGATGTTCTTGCCGAGTCTCAGCCGCAAGCCATGTGCGATCACTTCTACCAAACGCTGCAATCAAAGGTGGATGTGCACTTCCGAACAAAGTCAATTAAACTCCATCCGACTGACAAGCCTTGGATAACGCCCCGTACGAAAGAGCTTATTAACCAAAGACAAATAGCATTCAGCAACTACTCTCAAGGAGCTTGGAAATCTCTACGCAATCAAGTCCTTCGCGAAATCTCTAGAGCAAAACGCTTTTTCTATCGTGATCGTATCCAAAATCTTAAGAGCGATAACCCCTCATCTTGGTACAAGAACATTAAAGTCATGTCTGGTCATTCAAATTCGCAAGCAGACATAATCCGAGTTCCAACTGTTGAAGACAATGACCCAGTGAAAATAGCTACCGCCATTAATGAATTCTTTGCAAATGTTAACGCTGATATCCCCGAACTACATTTGAGAGACCTACCATCGTACCTGCCAGCCCAAACACCGCCCCCACATGTTCAACCGTGGGAAGTCATGAGTGAATTGAAGAAGATCAAGCCTGGCAAGTCAAGCGGCCCTGACGGCATTCCTGGACGCCTCGTTCGGGAATTTGCTTGCGAACTCTTAGGGATACTAAATGGGATACTAAATCCCCTGTCAGGGATACTAAATGCATCCTATCAACATAACAAGGTCCCAACCCAGTGGAAACAGGCAATAATTGTCCCCATCCCTAAAGGTCCTACATCTGCAACTTTGGATAAACTGAGGCCTATATATCCGTCACCGACCACTTTTCCAAAATTGCTGAGTTGTTTATAACCAAGCTTCTGTTACGCGACATTAACCCTCATTTGGACAAACACCAATATGGAAGCAGACCGGGCCTCTCAACTACCATTTGCATCGTCGACCTAATCAACTACCTTGCTAAATCAGCTGAGGCACCAAGAACTGCCACTACCGTAGTATGCACCGACTTCAGCAAGGCATTCGATCGGGTCAACCACACTATCGCGATTAAGAAGCTTATTGATCTTGGTGCCAGCCATTCGATTCTTCCTTGGATCTGCGATTTTCTGACCGACCGCCAAACCTGTGTTCGTTACCATGGTTCACCTTCGCCCTGGAAGAAGATTCATGCTGGCGTCCCACAAGGTACACGCCTAGGTCCTGTTGTATTCTTGGCCCTTATTGATGATGTAATGCGTGATTCTTTATCAGCGAGTCACTGGAAGTACGTCAACGACATGTCCATTGCCGCCTTGCACGATACACGCAACCAGCCACGTGATATCTCCCGTTCCCTATCCACTCTAGAAGATTGGTGCCAGAACAATTACGTGAAACTCAACACCAAGAAGTGTTCAATCACTTACCTTCAGTAAAGTCCAACTACCCCCACTAGGAGTACTTATTGATAATGTCCCCCTGAACGAGGTTAGCAGTGTGAAAATCCTTGGAGTAACCATTGAAGACACCTTGAAGTGGAATGTACAGGTTTCGGATACGGTTTCTCGTGCTAACCGCCGCATTTTCATGTTAAGATCCCTGAAAGCCTTCTATCCCCCCACCAACGACCTCGTTACAGTTTACATAGGATTTGTAAGACCACTCCTCGAATATGCCTGCCCTGTCTGGAACGGAGCATTGACTATCGCCCAGTCCAACAAGATCGAAAATGTTCAAAAACGGGCATTAAGAATTATACTAGGTAGATATTACATATCCTATTCAAATGCGCTATCAATGACCAAGCTTCAAACTCTCCATGCTCGCCAAGAAGAGCTATGTCTCAAGTTTGCCCTGAAAGCACTAAAATCCGACCAATCAGACTGGTTTAAACTAAACGCCAGCACCAGAAACACACGGAAATCACGTATCTGTATAGAACCTAAGTCCAAAACAGAACGTTACAGGAAAAGCCCAGTCCCATATCTCACCAGGTTACTCAACAACGCATAAATTCCCCTGATTCCTGCCCGATTCCACACCTCTTATTCAAATCGTATGCCTTTTGTTGCTTTTAATACTGCTCAACTTTATACCCATCAACTCATAAAGATTAGTGCATGTAATCCACATAGTAATGAATGGATACACTTGTGTTTTTAACTGTCAAACTGATTAATTAGTGAATATATCTCTTATAGTTACGCACGTTCCCATGTACATTCTATGTCTTTACATATTTAAAGTTTTTACGCATATATTCTGTTATTGTCTTTGTAATGCATGATTGGTAATTGTACTGTTTTTCTCTGTAAGGGAAACTTTGTAATTTACTTTGTAATTTCTTTCTAATCACCTTTTCCTTGTCGTCTTACTTTCATCATCATTCCGCTTCTCCATGTCTTCACAGTTCCAACTGTTCCATTCTTCTCATTCCACTCCCTCCCTATCTCCCTCTCCCTCTCCCATCTTCCGCATGTCTTCCTGTTTTTCTTTCTAACTTAACTCTCTCTCTCTACATCGTTCTCTCCCTAACCTTTTCTCTCCCTTTCGGTAATTGTTTAATCATGTTTCTATGATAAATCCTTATATATTGTGTAGCTTTATAGACATTCAATGTGCATTACGGTTCGAAGTTAAACAAATCTTCAGTACTTACTTGTTATAACTCCATTAATCAGCCTTCAATTTATATTTAAAATATGAATATTCCTCACTTAACAATGATTACAGAAAAAAAAATAACGCTGAATCTATTTTATTTGTTTCATCAATTTGTTTGTAAGTAGGGAATATGTAATTAGTTATGATATACCCGACTGTGTATTATGTGTACTTGTCCATATTATCTAAGTTTGTTGAAATGATTTTTAATACATGTAAAACTTGCAATGTAATTTAGCTTTCGGGCTACCATTTTGAAGTTGTCTAATAAAAAAACCATTCTACTACTTATATACTGTATGGCTTTCAAACTCTTCCTATTCAGAAACCACAAATGCGGAGCAAGTACCAGAATCTCAAGGTGAAAAATGAGACACTCCTTAGACAACTTGAAGAGAGGCAGCAAGAGATAGATTCACTCAGCACAAAGAAGGATTCATTGGAAGATGTAAGTAGTTAGTTTAACTTATCCATCTCCCCTTTCTGTCTCCTTGTCTGTCTCTCTGTCTCCCTTTCATTACCTTAATATTTGTTTTGTCCCAAATACATGGAATCCATGCCCCCCCCCCCTCTCTCTCTCTCTCTCTCTCTTAACTCTCTTAAAATTTACATGAAGTTGTTACTTTTTATTTGTGAAATAGAAACATTGACCTTTCTGTAAACAGACACATGAAAATATTCATTTACATTTTCTTAAATTATAAAAGTGATGAACATTAATCCTTAGAAGAGCAAAATATAAAATAAATAGAAGCTTGAGAATAGTAACAAGAAATGAAGACTTCTGTTTTCTTAACCTCATCTCTACGTGCAGGAGTTGCAACATTTTTAAGTGAAGCAGGAAGTTGTTTGTCTATCTTAAATGCTACATGAAGTTAACAAAATTAAACAAAGATATCTTTAGTTGTGCAAATAGATACATATACCATCTAGATCAGAAACATAGTGCAATAATTGTTAAAGCCATGTAGTGATTATTTATTTCTGTAAACAACATATATCAGAGGTATTTTGGTCTAGTGGATAAGTCTTCGGATTGTGGGTCACAGGGTCTGCAGTTTGAGTCCCGCTGCGGCACTAATGTCCTTTTGCAAGACATTAATCTACATTTGCCACTCTCCACCCAGGTGTTAAATGGGTACCCAGTAGGATTACGCCTGGCTGGAATGCTCCCCAGGGAGTGGAGAATGTGCTAAATTGTGTGCGGGTAAGCATGAATCAGATGACCGGGGTAATGATATATATCTGTAAAGCGCTTTGAGAGGGCCTGCGGTCCTGAAAGGCAATATAAGAACGAACTCTTATTATTATTATCATTATTATTTATTTATGTAAACAACATTTCAACACCTGCAGGAGCTTCAACATTCCCAAGTAAAGCAAGAGGCAGTGCGTCTCTATGAGCAGCTGCATGAGCTGGAGGATAAGAAGAGCCAGCTGATCGCTGAGGAGCAGTCCAGGGGTACTCCTGCAGAGGAGAGGGAGAAACTCCTCAAGCAAGTCAAGGAAGACAACCAGGAGATAGGAAGCATGGAGAGACAGTGAGTTCTGGGGGTGTTTCACAAAACTTGTTATCAGAGACAAATGACAATTGTTGTCATAAGCTACTTAAATCCTTATCAGCAGATTTGTCACTGATATTTGTCACTTGTCATCGATAAAAGGCTTTGTGAAACGGGCCCCTGGAGGGTGTTTCACAAAGCTAAGCTATGCATGACTTTACAAATGACTTGAATATGAAGAGCTAAATGGGATTCTCAACTCCTTTAATTGCATAAGCTAAAGTTGAAATATGCAGATGTAGACTAACCTTATCACTATTAAGGAAAGATATTAATGCAAAGTGTATTTTTGGCTACAATTTAATTGAGATTATGGGAATTACAGTCACACTTTGTTAAAATGTCAGGAAAAAAATTTGGGTATCCCATTTGTATATCATTTGTAAAGTCATCCGTAACTTTACGCACAGCTTTATAACCCCCCCCCCCCCCCTGGTTTGATTTGACTTTATATAAAAAAATAAATAAAATATATACAAATGACTATATATACAAATATACAATTTGTTAAAAAAGGGAAGACTGGATAGCTCTATTCAGAGCCATTGATAGCAAAAAAATTCCATGTAACGAAGATCAAATGGCAATATTTTTGGGTAAAAATACATTGATATGCACAGAACTTGCATCTATGCATACTCTTGATCTGTCTTTAGTTATAATGAAGTGAAAACCCTCTACACTTATCTTTTTTATCTGCGGATTTTATAAATATTTTTAAAGCAATTCTTTGTTTACTTCCTTGTGTCTGGACAAGGTTTTATAAAGGAGTTTTATAAAGTTATTAAATCATGCTTATCCATTTCCTTTCTAGAATCAAAGAGATTAAAGAGAAGCTGGAAGAAACCATGGAAGAAATAAGTCAACTAGACGTAGACCTGGAAGAACATCAAGGTAATCATATAAGAAAACTTGTATTCATAATTGATATGATTTCTCTTTGTAAATGGACTTAACATTAAAAGAACAATTTTCTTGGCTGAATTCAAGTTTGACTGAATAAATATAATCAACTATTGAAAGTATGTATTCAATTTGACATTAGTTTGTGTTATCAAGTGGTTTAATAACCTGACTAGGGATGCAGATATTGTAGGTTCAAACCCTGGCATGGCACTTATGTCCTTGAGCAAGGCATTTGTATCCACATTACTTTTCTCCACCCAAGTGTGACATGGGAACCCGATAGGATATCAAACGTTATTGTGTTTTGATTTAGCATTTGTAGGCTGGTAAAAGGCAACGGGCTGGACTAGGAGTCCCCTATTGAATGGAGAATAGGCACCATAACTGCGAATTTGTAAATAAATTCAGTATCAAAGGAATGATATACTGTTAAGTGCTTCGATGACCTCAATCTGCCCATAATCATAACGACGCTGAATTAAAGACACATGTTACATCATGTTTATGAATCAGATTCTAAACCTTCCCTTTCAGTTAAATCGGATAAGATTGTTTATAGAGGCATTTTCTCATATTTTCTGTCATATGTTTTAATTTATTTTTTAGGAGAGAAAAATTTGAAGTACAAAGAGCTGAAGAAGAGAGAAGAGAGTATGAATGGTAAGTTTTCTTTTCACTGCAGAATGGTATATACTTTTTTCTTCTTTTTTTTCTTAATTTCTTTGTCAAATTTCAGTTTAGGTTTATCTTGTACCGGTATTCATGAAAATAATCAGTTTAGGTCTAAAAGTCAATCAACAGTTTTTTTCCTGAATTAAACGATCAAAGAGTAATTCAAAACTCATAATTGTACTCTTGAAAATTAATCATTGAGAATTGTTTGTACTCTTGAGAGCAAAGAGGGAGTTGACCTTGACTGTGCTTCACTCCATTTTCGTCATTGGTAATAACAGGTTTAGGTCTATTTGTAAATCAACGGTTTTACTAAGTTACTAAAAAAGTAAAAGTAAAGAGTTGTATGCTAAACACATTTTGTATGTCGATTTCAGAGATATAAAGATTTGTTTTTGGAGGGGGTGGGGCAAAGGTAGAGATAACAGGTTTGACAAACGTGAGAGAAACATTAAAAACAAGGTAAAAGTGAGTTGTAAAATATGTATATACTTTTTCCCCTCTATTCATACTTGTATAGCTTCTTATAAAATGCAACGGTGTCCTTTGTTTTTGTACATGTACATATAACCATATGATTACTCATTTCAATTCTAATTTTGCTTCTTCTTCTTTTTTAAACAGAATTTCTTAATACTTTTGAAAGTGCAAAGAAAGAAGAAGTGGTAAGTTCCTTGGGACATTTATTTGATGCAAAACAATATGGCATAACATCTATTGAGAGCCTGTGTAAAAGCATTAATGTTAAACTCCTTTCTGGCTCACAACCTGATAAATTTCTTTATCTCTATGTTCTTTTTGTATCTTTTTTTTCCCTTCTGAATAGAGATTCTGAATAGAGATCTATGACTGCCATGTTTCACTATCTATCACACATGTGCCTAATTGAGTTATTTATGTAAGAATTATACAGTATAGATATACTTTATGAGCCTTTATAGTTATCTGAATTTTGAGAATTGTTACAAGATCATGCATTTAACAACACATGCTAATAAGCTGGCAATGTATGTGCGAGCAAGTACTGTATAGTATTAAAGCAGCCTGTGCTTTTTATCACCAAAATGTCTTTGTCCCTCTGTAAACTGCAAAAATATTGGCTTCTATATGAGCTAAGTCTCTTTAATTGGTAAAAGATTCTTCCAGGGAAACATGATATCGTCAGGAGACAGAACGGCTTTAACTCCTATACTTTAACACAGAGTTAATGCCCTTCTGGCTCTGAACTGATCATATGGTCATTTGTCAAGAAACAGTCCTGTAATGTGAGTTGGAATGCATGTGCAATGAAGGTCTCAAATCTCACTGTTGTGTTCTTCTTATTTTGTTTTCCAGGAAAGGAGAGGCACCAGTGAAGAGACCGTTGTGACACTCTTGTCCCACATGAGTAGGGTAAGTTCTTTGTCCTAATGTTATGAACCAGAGCACTATAACACTGAGTTCCCATAGGACATCTATTAATTCAGATGGTCATATCTCATCCAATACTTAATGAATTCAATTAGTTTTCTACATTCAGACATTATTTTTGATGCTCTTTCGGAAAATGAAGAAAAAAGGAAAAAGTTATGAATTTTGAAAGCTGTAGAGTGGTGAAGCGTGACGTCATCAAAAATCTATTTTCCGAATTTATCAATTTTTTTTTTTTCATTTTCCAAAAGAGCATCAAAAATAATGTCCGAATATCGAAAACCAGTTGAATATATTTAGTATTCGCTGAGATATGACCATCTGAATAAATATATGTCCTATGGGAACTCAGTGTTATAGTGCTCTGGTTCCCTAATGTTATGAACCAGAGCACTATAACACTGAGTGCTTGAAGACGTGTCTATTCTGAAGCCCTATGCATCCATTGAACCATCACAATCACAATGCATGATAACTTTGATACCTTTTCACTCCATTGGGTACTATAGCCTGTAATTCTTGTAATTCTATGAACATCACTTCACACTACAACGTTGTGTTTTTGTTTCCCACAGAACCTTGGACGTCAGAAGCACATGCCAACCCCTAAGGAGCTGGCTAGGATGCAGGATGACTTAAGCTTCAAACAGACAGAGATGCATAAATCAGAAGCAACGGCTTCAGGACTTACTGGAGGTACATGTTTGATCTATTTATATATATTATGTTTCTCTCCCCTCTCATTCTCTCGCATGCACACTCTCTCTCTCTCTCTCTCTCTCTCTCTCTCTGTCTGTGTCTCTCTCGTTGTCTCATCTCAGTCTGGGTCTTTATCTCTTTTGTAGTCTCTTTCTATATCTGTCTCTCTCTGTTTGATATATGTATCTGTCTCTGTCTTTGTCTCTCCTTATCTCTCTCTCTCTCTCTGTCTTTCTGTTGCTCTTTCTGTCTCTCTTTCTGTCTGTCTGTCTCTCTCTCTCTTTTTCTCTCTCTATCGCTCTATCTCTCTCTCTCTCTCTCTCTCTCTCTCTCTATTTCTCTTTCTCCATATCCCTTCATCTTTGTGGAGGTATACCAACACTAGACTAAAACTTCCATTCACAATGTTTTCATTTAGTAGCCTTCTATTTTTGTGGGTTATGGATGTGAACTGGTCTTCAAAGTTACTAAGGACATGTGTCATTGTTTGTTGCTCTTCATTCTTGTTAATACGGTATCTTCGTTCGTGTTAATACCGTATAATGAATTCAATATTTTGTATTGGCTTTACATGTCATCAGTCTTTTCCTTAATAAATAGCAACAATTGGCAATTTTACAGTGTTCAGTTATGAAGAAAAAAAGTTACATTACATTATTAAAGAGATTTGATTTGATTTGTGTTGTAACTGCCTTCTTCTTATCTTCTCTCTCTTCTTATCTTCCTGTAACTGTCTTTACCTTATCTCTATCTTTCCTCTGTCCTCTGTTGTTGTGAATGTATGTACAATGTTTTTTATATAAAATAAGTTTGTATCTTGTTTATGCTAAGTATTTATTTCAGATCATTCTCATCAAGCCAATTTTGGTTTTCATGATTCCCCACTTTCTTTTATCTTATGTTGATAATGAACGAACATGTAAATAAATGAAATGAAATTTATAATTCTGTGTTCTCCTCCTCTTTCAGAGTCTGGTCGGCTCCAGATGGATCTTCAGAAGGTGGAGCAGCTGGAGGGTAAGATCACGGCGGAGCTGGAGAACCTTAAGGTCCGCATCAAGGAGATGGAGGAAGAGCTCAAGACCTTTTCCAACCTGGACACACTTCAGCAGACTGCTGATCAAAAGAAGAAGGTCTGTATTTATGATCACCATTTTAGACATGTCTACCAGCACCCAGTTTTTGCGTTCATATTCACTATGGCAATTGTACTACATATTTTGCCACTATGACAGCTGTATAACCTTAGGCACCTATGTAATACATGGACATGAAGCCACCATTACTATAGTAGCAGTATCATTAGTAGAATAGTAGTAGTAGTAGTAGTAGTAGTAGTAGTAGTAGTAGTAGTAGTAGTAGTAGAATTAGTAGTAGAACAGTAGAAGTAGTGGTAATAGTAGTAGTAGTAGTAGTAGTAGTTGAATAGTAGTAGTAGAAGTATCAATAGTAGAAGCAGTAACAGAAGTAGTAGTAGAAGTTATAATAGTAGTAGTTATAGTAGTTTTAGTAGTAGTAGCAATAGTAGTATAGTATCATTATTATAATCCTTATGAAGTATTTACTGTATATAGATGCATGAAGATGTATATCATCAGGAAACATTTGACAGTCATCCACATGTATGTCCAGAAAAAAAAGTTATTTTACATTCCTTGTAGTAATTCACATACCTGTATTCAATCAAGTTATTCAAAGAATAGAATTTGGCATCCTAAACTTAAATTGTCAAAAAAAAATCAACATTTATCAGTATAATCATTTTCTGTAGATTGAATGGATTGTATGTTTTTGGTTTTCTTTCCAGAAACTACAAGAGGACAAGATTACTTTGGCGAGGAGGAGAGACGTCTTCAAAAAGAGTAAGCATAATGATGATCAATGTATTGAATATATGCATATGCTGTATACGATCAGTTTGCAAGAAACACATAGCTGCCAAGTAGTACTCAACATCTTCTCCTGGCATTAGAGAATAAAAATAGTAATATTCCATTCTTGTACAACTTATATAACGTTATGATATAGCGTCTCTATGCGCTTCCAAGGGCTTTGGACATTATTACCCAGATTTTAGGTCCGGCAATCATAGTACTCGATGTAATCAAGAATAAATCCTACCAGGTACCAACTTACCCATTTACTTCTCCTGGGTCGGTTGTTGCAGATGTAGACTGATGTCTTGCCAAAAGGACATCAGTGCTAAGGCAAGAAATTGTGCCTTGTGATCTACAGTCCATTGACTTTTCCACTAATATAGCAGGTGTCCTAGACGGATACATTTTGATGGAAGTTGATAGGTGTTTCCCAATAATTAAATCAAAATCAGTCAAGTTTTTAAAAAAAACCTGTATGGTATGATTATCACACTTGGTAAAGTATTATGCCATTTTACATTGAATCATGTTAATGTCAAGTATGATAGATAAATAGCTTGAGTTAACATGATAAGTTGTTGATGCTTACACTAAAGTGTATTATGTCTCACTTTATCATGACCAGGTTTTCACTTTTCATAATAACAATAATAATACTACTAATAATGAATGTTACTTGTATAGCACATATCACTAACACAAAGAAAGTCCCTATGCGCTTACGAAAGAAGAAAATAGAGATATGGCAGAATAGAAATTAACATTTATGCCTGATACATGAAAATAATGAATTACAAACAACAATAATGATACGCAACTCCTATATAGCTAAGATGTAATAGGTAATACAAATTGAAAATTGAATAATTGTAGTTTGCTTCAGTGTTTACTGAATACATTTTTGTTGCATCTAATGTGTTTTTGTCTTCAGGTACATGTATCTCACTTCTCCCAAGCCAATACAAAGCCTTAAAGACACAGCTCAACGATAACGAGATCCATTCGTATGTGGGTAACCTTGCAGGCTTGTAGTACATAAAATAACACCTTTGTGTTTATTTATTGTTTACTTGTTTGTTGTCTTTGATCAGGCGTCCAACTTCTCTCCAGCCAGTACGAAGCCTTGAAGACACAGCTCAACGATAACGAGACCCATTCGCAGCTGGGCAACCTGGAGCGCAAGTGGCAGCACTACGAGCAGAACAACTTTGTCATGAAAGAATGTATCCTTTTATTATTACTCACTGATCCAGTCTGGTTTATAATGGCTTATGCTCTCTCTCTCTGTGTACCCATCCATTGTTTATTGTAGTATTGCTGTTCACACATGCTTACCCCATCCGTGCAGTGAGTGGCGAATGTGGCCAAATTGGTTTTGACTTTAATAGGATGGCTATAGTTTTAACCTCCAGAAAAAGAAACAAACATATGCATTTTGAAATTTGCACAGTGGATATTTGTTTTCTTCCCCAATTGAATAATGTAACAGTCAATTAAAGGTAATACAAAGTTTTGGGAATTTTCTAAAATTGGCTGGATGAAGATTCTTTACAATTTTGAAATATTTGGATGCCCTTGTGGGTGTTTTATAAGCACTAGAAAATTTAGCCCCTAAAATACTTCTGTTTTCGAGAAAAATGGAATATTAAAATTTACCAGTAAATTTTGATAATCTTCAAATAGCGACTACGGCCATACAATGGTAGCTGCGACCATGAAAATCTCAGAATATGTAGTTGTGATATAGAATTTCCAAACGAGAATAGCCAATTGGTCGATTTTACTCAAAAAGCATTGTTTTATAGCTAAATCAATAGCTTGACCTTGAGAGGGAGCTAGCTATATACAGCGAAAAGAGTTCATGTACAATTTCATCACATCAGACTCGATTTCAAACGCGACAACGATCACTGAATATTGTAGGATCGCATATGATTCCAATATGTTCATTTGAACCAAATTCATGACCCCATACCAAAACTTTGTAATACCTTTAACATTCAAAATTTCACTGTTGAAAGTAAATTGATGATAATTGTTCTGAAATTTGTTGGCAGAGAAAGAGTCCACCTTGACCATGTAATAGGTGGCAAATTGTGTTTGGACTAAGCATGACTAGTTTTAATTTCTAAAAATAGAATAGAAAAAAATGGCAATTGCATTGTGAAATCTACCCCATGGAAGAGTTTTTTCTCCAAAATTAAACAAAGAAACAGTAAATAAAAACAGAACTTTACTCTTCAAAATGAACCAATAATTGTTTGTATGCTTAATGGCAAAGAAAGAGTCAACCTCGGCCATGTTACACTCCTTCTTTGTCATAAGAGGAAAAATATGTTTGAACTAAGCATGACTAGTTTTACTGTTCAAACATGGCAACAGGCAATATGCATTGTGAATTTTATACATCCTTGGTATTTTATGTCCAATTTAACAATGAAGCGATCTATTGAAACTCAGAATTTGGCTCTCGAAACCTGATCATTGATTGTTGTGTGTACATTTTATGAAACAAATGAGTTAAGCTTAAAGGGTTCTCCTATGGACAAAGAATCGGGTAACTATCACTCAAATTTTGCCTTTCCTTGACATTTTCTTGTTCATCAGTTATTGCAGCCAAAGGTATGGAGAGTGATTACCGCCCTCTTGTGTCAAAAGTGAGAGACCAGGTTGGAGACTACAATCGCATGCTACAAGATATACTGATAAAAGGCGTACAGCGCTGAGATCACAGAAACCTCAAGTGTTCTAGCTCCAGATTCCTGTAAAACCAGGAACATTCCTGACATTAAGCTTTCTTGAACCTGAATCACTTGTGAAATTTGAAAACATTTCATATGTATGAAATTTTCTTGTTATACAGTACATTATCTCATAGATCTATTTTACTTGTGCCCTTGTGTGTATGTTGTATTCAGACCAGCCTTTGCTTGTGTATAAAGACAGATATTTATGTTTCCCATATTCACTATTTCTGTATGCCACTCTATAGTTAGTAGTACTTTTATGAAAATGAAACAAAGATGTATTCTATCACCAAAAAGGAAACTGGGAAAGGAGCTTGAGAAAGAATGCTTGTGAATCACTGTTTTTTATAGCTGTATTCAAAACTACAGGAGAATCTCATACAGTATTTTGGGGTCTTATTTCATTACTTCATGTTGAACTTGATATTTGTATTACTTGGCTTTTGAGCATAGATGTGTCATGGTCTTGTGGATAATTCACCGGACTGTGAATCCCATGGTTCGCGGTTAGAGTCACACTGCACCACTAATATCCTTTGGCAAAACATTTATCTACATTTGCCACACTCTACCCAGATAAGGTAAATGTATACCTGGTAGGAATTAATTCCTTGAAATGCTAGAGCGCCATAATGGCAGCCATGCTAAAGCCGGGTAATAGTTGTGGAGCGCCAGGAGTGTCAAGTTTGACAGACATAAGCGCTATACAGGAACCCACTGTTAATATTATTATTATTATTATAATCAGTACGGCACCTTGTTTAAATCCTATCTCGGGGGGGGGGGGGGGGGGGGGGGGGGCTTGGTCTGTGAGGAATTAATGCATACACATAATGGCAACACTTCACCATAGGGGTTTTGAACCTAGAATCCTCTCCCAGGTGTAAGACTACTACATTGTGCTCTGGACCATTGCACCCCAGGCTAGATGTGAATTCACTTTTGCAAGTACATTATGTCAATATGTCACTATCATTCCATTACTCTTCTATCATTCCAACATTCATATACTGCATGTTTCAAGGATACCATAACACATTGGTAATCCTCATTTCTGTTGTGTCCGATCTTTTGATTTATTTACTTTATTAATTGCTCATTTGTTGTAAAAATGCACCTTTCCTTGAATTCTCAAAAGTGAATTTGTGACTGTAATAAACTATGGTCAGTGTTATTTTGATGGAATTCTTTAGTTAGAGTTGAGATGATTTAAAAGGCATCGGTCGTGAACATATTATAATGCCTAGAATATCAAGTTTAAAGATGAATGCATGCAGTGGCAGATTGTTTAAAGCTACCTTTATAGTTCTTATTAAGGGATCATCAGATAGCATTTGAATATTTTCAAACTTAGGTACACTGCCCCTTTAATTGCAAATTAAATTTTTAGATGGGGATACGCTTGGTAGCTATGACCTATCTTGTCATTTTGCAGTGCTTGCAGGATGAATTGTATTTAGAATTGCATCTCATCAATAGTATGTGATCCAATTTAAACATGGCAGCTGGTTATTACATTATCATGCATTTCATGGAGATTAGGCATACTGGACTCTCTCTCTCTCTCTCTCCCTCTCTTTTTCTCTCTCTCCACCTCCCTCCCTCCCTCCCCCTCACTATTTGTCTCTCTCTCTCTCACACTCTCTCTCTCTCTCTGTCTGTCACTCTCCCCTTCCTTTTCCCTCTCTTTCCCCCTCTTTCCCTTGACTAGCTATCCCTCTCACTGTCCCTCTCTACTTTCCTGCTCCCTCTCTGTCTCCCTCTACCATGTACCTCATTTCCTCCTCCCATCTTCCCCATCTCTACTCTTCCTTTCTCATTTCCCTCTCTGATCCTCTCTTCTCCCACCCTCCCTCTCTCTCCCCTACCCCCCTTGTGCTATTAATATACTATATTCCTCCCTCTTCACTCACCCTCTCACACACTCTACTTTGTCTATCCCTCTCACCTCTTTTTGTCTCTCCTCCATTTCAATTCCCCTCTCTATCTCTCACTCTCTCTCTCTCTCTTCCTGTCTCTCCCTATCTCTCTTTTTACGGAACATTTTGCCTCCTGTTAATCAATCTTTGTAACTTTGTATGTGCCATATGACATTCACGCTTACTGTGGAGGTCAACATTTGATGGGAGATAAATCTAATTGTTTTAATTTTTAATGGATGTTTTTGTTTTGATCACAGTTGCGTATCAAAGTGAATAGATACTGGTAGGTTATTATTGTCTGTATCGTTTTATTACAAACACAACTATCAAGGTTAGATGTTTCACTTCTTATTATTTACAAAGATGCCTTCACTGCTTAGTTTGAACATGGAGCTATAAGAGCTCCATGGTTTGAAGTTGTAAATTGTGAAGGATAATTTGATTTAGAAGCAAGAGAAAGCGTTAGTTCAACCTTGAAATGTACAATTGGGTTGCAGAAAATTCCGCATATGATGAGGAGGTATATGTAGCTATCATTGTACATAATGTTTGGTTTAGGGAGAGAAACACTGAACAGTTCCCCCCCCCCCCCCCCCCCACCTGCAAAATATTGATCCTTTTTCAGTATTGCTTCCCCCTACATTTAACAAAATGATATGTCTACCCCTGAACATATGAGAATGTAAAGAAAGGAATAACATTTTTACTTAAAAGATCATAAAGGACACGCATAGAAAGGAATAACGTTTTTACTTATAAGATCATAAAGGACACGCATGCTTTTTCAGATCATCAAATCATATCATACATCGTCTGTTTGGAGGCAGAAGGGGGTTAACTCATGAAATTAAACACACAGTTAATGTCTCTCTGGCCCTGAACAGACGGTATTATTGTATGTCCCCATGTTCATAATTATACATTCTTGTCATTAGCCCATTGATGGCGGCATCTTAAACATTTGGTTACAAACTGGAGAGGAAAATGGTGACATTATGACTTATCATTTTACATTGTATAGGAGGAATAAAAAAGCCATCAAAGAATTGATGAGCCATGTAAAGGTCAAACCTCTGAACTAGTGGACCGATGTGCATGGCCTGAATACTAGGAATAGTGTGGGAGGTTTAATTTACTGTGGTCACTGTCCCAAGACATTGACCATGAGACAAAAATGGTAGGCCCTTAATCAACAAAGCTCTGTTGTGGTGCTTATAATGATAATAATGATAATAAATGATAATAATATAGATAGATATTTTATAACACACTTTCTTACTAAATAAGTCGCTCAAGACGCTGCATGTAAGGAAATTATGTGTTGTGAATGAACTTACAATTTGATATTTACAAACCTTGTGTGAGACATTTATCTTTTTGCAGCACAAAAATTTGAATAAACAACCCACAGAATGTAAACTTTTGTTTGAGAGTTAAAGTTTGATCTCAATATGAAATATTAAATCTTCACCTCCAAAACGGTCAAACTATTGACTTGTGTACATGAGATATCTAGTCGATCCATCTACGATATGGGATGACCCAATAATAAGAAGCATATTCTCACAAGATTTTGAAATTATTGGGTAGGCAAATGTCTGTCTACCCCACCCCCGAACAACCCCCAGAATGTAAAATATTTGTACATATGTGTGTATGTAAGTTTATATCCTTAGATAGTCCGGTTACATGTCTATCCATGCGAGTGTGTGGATAGTGGATCTGTTAATATGTGTATAGATTGTAGATGAATTAAAGATGTCTGAACGTTTATTGCAAATCTAAATTGACGTTTAACTGTACCGTTTTCTATTTTATGGTTTATTCTTGTGAGTGACGAGTGTGTGGATAGTGGATCTGTTAATATGTGTATAGATTGTAGATGAATTAAAGATGTCTGAACGTTTATTGCAAATCTAAATTGACGTTTAACTGTACCGTTTTCTATTTTATGGTTTATTCTTGTGAGTGACTGATAGAGTGAATGAATGAATTAATGAATAAATAGAAAATTGAAGAGATAAAGAAATACAGAAATACATATGTTATTCGGTTTGTGAAAAAAAATATTGATTCTCCAGGTGTTGTTTCAGAGTGCTTTAAAAGAAAAAACTCTCCACCTCCTGCTATGTCTGTGTCCCTTCCCATCCATTTTCTCTATCCCCAATCTCCTGCTTGCACAAACACTCGCACACATGCACATCTATATGGATTCTCTTATCCCTCTCTGACACACGCACACGCCCAAACACACTCTTTCTCCCCTCTCTTTCTCTCTCCCGGCCCCAACACACACACACACACTCTCTCTCTCTCTCTCTCTCTCTCTCTCTCTCTCTCTCTCTCTCTTTCTTATTTTCAGTCCATAATGTCTATCTCTTGATCAAAAGAATGTTACTGTCTTCAAAATCAACTTACACTTTTCCATCAGTGTTTCCTCTTTGTCAATGACACTTCCATTTTTTCTTATTTTTCTATAAATATAATCAACCTTTCCACCACAGCTAAAGCAGACAATGATTCCCCCCCCCCCCCCACCACCACCCTATACCCAACACTTTCCATGTTAATCTTCGCCATGGCCTTCTCAGTGTTTCATCTCCTTCTACCAGCAGGGGTGTCGAATTTCAAATTCTTTGACTGCACCATTCCTTCATGATGTTCGGCTCACCTTCTCAACGTTTAATCACAATCACACGTGTTCTCACCAACCTTATTTTTCATCACGTGATCGCCCGCGAAGAACGAATCAAGTCGCAGTTCGTCACACCCCGTGATCGGATACATTACTGCGCTTCAAATTAATATCATTCGCCTGGTCGGTCCCATTCATCCTCCCTCATACGTCTTGCTTGCTACCTGCAGTGCACCAGGTCATGTGAGGGAATTGAGTCTTGTGAATGAATTTTATATCAACTTATAATTTACTACTGTACATTAGTTGGCATGTTGAAAACGGCAGATGACTCGTCATGATCCTCGATCCAGCTTCAACTGTCTCAATTTCTCTCAGTATGACTCTGAATCAGTCTCCCTTCCCCCCCCCCCCTACTTACCCCTCTCTCTCTCTCTCTCTCTCTCTCTCTCTTTCTCTCTCTCTCTCTCTCTCTCTCTTTCTCTCTCTCTCTCTTTCTCTCTCTCTCTCTTTCTCTCTCTCTCTCTCCCTTTCTCTCTCTCTCTCACCATCTCTCATATTCTCCCTCTCTCTCTCACTGTCTCATATTCTCTCTCTCTCTATCTTACAATATTTCATATTATCTCTCTCTCTCTCTCTCTCTCTCTCTCTTCACTTCTCTTCTCTTCTCATCAACGTGAATTTGTTTTCATCCATCATACCTGTATTGCGAAAAGAAAGCTAATTTGTAACAGATCTGAGAATGCTCCTGTCCATCCCAATTCGAAATGTCCATATTTCATGTAGGTATTGATCTCAAAATGCATACGTTCATAAGTTCTATTGTTCATACGATTATTTTTTTTCTTCAAACTTTAACAATCCGTTTTTCAGATTTATGTGCATTTCTTTAACTTGCTACTTTTTGTTCCTGCTTTATACGAGTCAACAAATGAGGCATTCTCTGACAACAGTTTTTTATACTTTTTTTGGTAAGGGGAGAAAAATAATCTTTATTTATCCAAATATCAACGAAAAACAACGGTTGGGGAGAAAACAAACAGAAAACATAACGTTAAACCAGAGATGGTAGAATCTGTGGTTGAGTGGGTGAGTGAATGAAATGAAGAAGAACACGATGCAAGAAACAACACCAAGGAGCGAGACGATATGGAAGATGAAAACAATCGAGACGCTTCTTGATATATCTTGTGCTGATGGCGTTTAGACGGCAGCACCTGTGTGGAAGCAATAAAGAAGACAAAAAACATGATGGAGATAGTGAGTTGCCTGCAAAAAGAATGGGGAAAATCATTGCAGCAAAATATTTCAAAAGTACACGATCGGAATGTCAAGCGTAGGATTGAACCGATCCATCACCCCCCCCCCCCTTTTTTTTTCCAGTCTGGAGAACGATACTCAAAACAGATTAGTATCGTTTAGGTGAGTATATATATTTATATATACTTCTCACTAAAAAAAACGCTTTATCAAAAGAACATTCAAATTTAGCGTGAATGAATTTACAAAATGTCATGTTTATGGTCGTACAACCATCAATGATA